CTTCACCATGGTTCAATAATTTTGGAGAAAAACAAAACAAATCCCTTGAGCAGAATACAGTGGGAAAGAATCTCTAACCGCCCCTCCCCCCTTTTCGATTTTTTTAATCCCTCTGTTTTGAAGCAAAAACTGTTGAAAAAGGAAGTCCACTCACCGTGTTCTGTGGGGAAGAAAGAGAACCTTCTGCTGGAAGCCGAAGCGTGCTAGTGTCGTAGTGCATAGAATCTAGCTTTTTTTCCCCTCCCCTTCTTTCTCTGTATATTGGGCTCAGAGATTACACTGTGTCTCTATGTGAATATGGACAGTTAGCATTTACCAACATGTATCTGTCTACTTCTCTTGTTTAAAAAAATACGAAAAAAGCTAAAAAAAAAAAATAAGGCCGGGGGGGTTATAGACAGGGTAAGCAAGGGTGGGTTTCAGACGTTGGGGTGGGTTAAATGGGCATTTTGACAAAAACATGGCGGCTTGTTTGGCATGTTTAATCGTGATGTTGAACAAACATCCTTGCAGTTTAAGATGACACTTTTAAAAATAAATTTTCTCTCCTGATGATTACAGTTGAGCCCTGCCACTTGATGGAGAATCAGCAGAAAACCTGTAGGATCTTTATTTGGAATTTACATTCTCTATTGTAATTTTGTTCCTTGTTTTGTTTTTTTTTTGGGTTTTTTTTGTTTTGTTTTTCAACTTTTTTTTGTTTCACTGGAAAAGAAAGATGCTCAGTTTTAAACGTTAAAAGTGTACAAGTTGCTTTGTTACAATAAAACTTAATGTGTACACAAGGGCTGATAGTCTTCACTGGGGGGGAAAAAGCATGCTTCTTACCCCTTTGTTTGGTTTCTCCGCCTACAAGTTAGAACCGTTAGGACTTATATTACAAGCAAGAATATAGCAAAATACCAGTTCTGCTTCTAAATCACGACAGGCCCTCCCTTCACTCCCAACAAGCGAAGCCTTCGGTGCAAGCTTTCTGTTGGAAACGGATGGGATTCGGATCGGGTCAGGAACGGTGTTTTTCAAAAGGACGCCAGGCTCGGCCTGCTTTTTTCTCAAGTCAACATAGATAAGCAGTTTCCAGATCAACTGATAAAACTGGTCTAAGGGGGGAACAGACTTAATGGGTTTTTCCGAGCAGACCTTCTGATCCCTTTCGGGGCTAGGATTAGATAGGTTGCATGGTCTCCCGAGGACCTGCCAAGAGCTGGTAGAATTAACATTTTTGGAAATGATGTAGGAGGAATGATGTAACTTTCATCTATTGGTTAATAAAGATCATCACTAGCATGTTGTGTTAGTGGCTTTTGGTCCTTCGGAGTTGCTTGAGTTTAAACATCATGCTCAGTTCCCTTGGGAAGCGCCCTGCGGCTGACTTTGGCTTAACGAGCTTCCTTTTAAAATGTTCATTTATAGCTGCCGTTTATTGAATTTTTTTTTCTGGCCGTTGTGCATACATAACCAGATGTACACCTGACCATTCCACAGCTCCTGTAAACTTGTAAGATTCAAGAGGTCATTTGTTTCTACTAGATTGCATGTTTTTGGAGAGAATTTTTTGTCTTTCTGTGGTTTATTTCCAGGCCTGCCATTTCTCCAAACTTTTTAAATCCTTTCATAAGTGTTTTAGTTGATTCTTGTGGATCTTCGACCACTACAAGTAAGTCACCTGCGAAGAAGGCCTGTTGTATACTCTTTACCTGCTTGGTAATCTCCAGGACCCCCAGATGGTTGAAAGGGGCTGGTACAAGGTTTGCTGGAATGAAAATGTTCCACAAAACTTTGCCTGTTTACCGGGTGACATTTGAACCCTGATCAAGATGGTTTTTAAAAAGCCCAGAGGTATCTTTCTCAGGCGGTCCGCTCCCTCGCAGCTGGTGGCAAACAACGCCATCATTTTTGGGTTAACAAACGCTCCAGGGTGAGCCAAAGAATGCTGGATGCTTGCTTTTAAATCACCCTGTTACACCCTGGCTACTACAGAAAGTTCATCCCGAGGTTTAGCGAGATTGCGGACCAGAACTTTTCTGTTTGCTTAAGATTCTTTGTATATGTTCGTTTCCATCTTGTAGGACATCAGACCTGGTGTAAAGTGAATGAGTGAGAGAGAAAAAGAGCAGGGACTCATTTTAAGATGATGATGATACTCTGACTGCAGAGCTGGAAGGGACCCTAGAGGTCATCCAGTCCAGCCCCCATCAAGGAGGCCTAGTGGGAAATTAAACCCCCACCTGATCTCTAAATCACTGGGTGATCAATACTGTATATGGTGGGAAATCGACTGGGGGCACCCTAAATTGGTGTCGACTGGATGGCGCATAAGACACCCGGATCTGGTCCCGCGCACACAGAGTGAGACAAAACGGAGCGTGCCCCAGATGGTGGAGATGCTATCCGAGACACTGGATGGATTGGAGAGGGTTCATCCTCTCTAAAACTTAATGGGCACTCCTCCGGTTTTCTGTATTTCCATTCTTGCCTGCTGAAGTGGAAAGGAATACGGTTACTCTCAAGGAAATCTAGTAGAAAGTGTGTTCTCTGCCATCCTGTCGCAACTGACATAGGAAACCTAATGGGGCTTTCGAAGTGCGTGACACATTGAAGGGGTGCCCAAAAAGGCAGGCTAAAAGCATATTAAATTTCATTTAAAATTAAATGAATACCATCCAGTCGCAACTGTCTTATAGCAAACCTAATGGGGCTTTCGAGGTGCGTGACACATTGAAGGGGTGCCAAAAGGCAGGGTAAAAGTATATTAAATTTCATTTAAAATTAAATGAATTAAAATAAATTAACATTTGGCCTTTGTGCTTCTTGGTGTACAACATTTAACAATTCTGGTTTGGCCTTTGTGCTTCCGCTTCTTGGTGTACAACATTTAACAATTCTGTGGCTGCTCATTTTAAAACTTGCTTTAGAGGAGCACAGAGCTGAAAAATCGTCATGAATACATGTGAAGGGCCACCCACTCAAGAGCCTGGCCCTTTAAATCTTGCCGCCCTTATCATCTTTTGTTAATTGATGAAGGAAATGACAAGTCACCTGCCCGCTCTTTCCTTGGCTTGTTCAAAGGGATTTTTTCTCGTGTATTGTGTAAGATACACGGCATTTCCTCTTTACTGTTTTTGTTCCTCTCCCGCGATTGTTACGCATTTGAAATCACGGCGTGTCTGCCAAGTTTGCCAAAGTTACTTTATGGGGCCTACATGTTTCAGCCTAAGGCTTCTGGGATGTGTAGTCCCTCTCTTCCCCCCCCCCAAAAAAAAGTAACTTGTACAGTACAAGATCTGTTTAGCGACGCCCCCCTCTGCTCTGCTGAGAAATCTCTCGCGTAGACAGACGGGCGTCCTGGAGCGAAAGGGAAAGGAACGCATCCGAAACGTTACTTTCCGAAGGTGAGCCAGGAGTAACTTGGGCTGGGTCCCCTTCCTTCTGGGTTGGCCAAAGAGGGCCAGCAGAGGGCGCCGGAGACGGGACGGTGGAAGTTTGGGAAAGTTCCTTTCTGCGCCCGGGTGTTGCCTTAATCCGGATTGGGTGTAAACGAGAGGATCCGCCAGGGAAGGCAAACCGGAGCGGCGACCCGGAGGCGCCTGGAGCGTCCCCATGGCGGCCGGAGAGATCCATCAGGTGAGGAGGAGAAGGGATCCCGGGATCTAGTCCCCCCCATGCCAACCCCCCTCCCCAAAAAAGGGTCCCTTCCCAAAAAAAGGGGTCCCTTCACCAAGCAGGACGCATCCGTTTGGCCGGACGGAAAGCCTCGCGTTTTGCCGAAGCGACGCGTCTGGAGGCTCCGGAGCGAGGTGGATCGGGCCCTTCTGGAGGCATGCGGGGGTGGGCGTCTGGTGGAGGGGGGGAAGCAGCTAAATCCTGTTCTTTCCCCACACACACACACACACCTCAATGCGCGCAAAGGCTGCCGCGGAGATGGGCGTCTGGTGGAGGGGGGGGAAAGCAGCTAAATCCTGTTCTCCCCCCCCCTCAATGCGCGCAAAGGCTGCCGCGGAGAGAGCGCTAGTCAGTGCGAAGCGAAGCGGGATGCTGGAGATGCTCCCCTTTTGGACCGGATTGTGGTCCAGGTGTCCAAGGCGCTCCGCAACTCCCAGGGTGACCCTGGGCTGTTTGCTTATCCTCCCAGCCCTACCTCTCTGGCGAAAGAAACAGCCCCATGGATGCTGTCCCCCCCCCCTCAAAGGTCCCAGGAGATCTGGGTTCGAATTCACATTTGGGCATGGAAGCTCAAGGTAGATGGAGGCCATGGTAAAACCACCCCTTAAACAATTCATAGACCCCCCCAAAAAAAAAAACTCCCTTTGGGGTCGCCATTAAATCAGAACTGGCTTGACCACCTCAAACTAGGGCAATCATAAGGTTTTGTGGAGTGGAATTCCCTTAAATCAAGATTTCTGGAGGGCGGCTTCTCTCTGGCTCTCTTCCCCCCACACAGGTGTGGGCGGAGGGGGAAAATTTTTTTTTTTAAGTTCAGGGGGGGAAAGAAATGCAGAAAATGCAGGCGATGATAAGCGGGATACGTAAAGCTTAAATGTAAAATGTTTGCAGTACGTCGTTGTGCAAACATCCTGGCCGTTAAAAAGTTCCTGGCCTCCCGAAGGCTTCTTGAGAAAATTAGGGAAATCCTGTTTTTGTGCAAACTTTGCAGGGAAGGAACGGCGCCAACGAGAAATTCTGGCATTTTTAAAAATATATATATAAAGAATTCAGCCCCCACGGTTTCTGTGCTGAAAAGGGAATTATCTCGTATTCCCATCAAATACCTGTGCGCTTGGCGAACGATGATTTATGTACATCGCTTCCCCATGCCTTAGTTTTCCTCTTCACTTCTTACCACGCCGGCTTGCAAGAGTCTACTTGGGAGTAAATCACAGAGTAAATCACAATCCCCAGTTGCTGTTCGTGATTAAAGCTGACCCACTGAATCAAGGGGGTTGCAGAAACAGTGCCTCCCCCCCCCCCAATCGAATGGGTCTACTTTAGCTGAAATTTTCCCCTTGGTTTGAGGCCAACGGAGCGCCGAGGTTTGGAAATTTGAATGCAGAGAGCGTTAAAATCATTAAGACGATTGTTTTTTTAAAAAAATGCAATTCTGAACATTTAATAATGATGTTTGAACAGTAGTTTACTAAAAGTGACTTCAACATAGCAAGTCTAAAATCCAGGCCGCTGTGAAATAACATTTCCATCTAAAGGTATTCTTTCCCTCGCTAGTTGACGCTTGAACGTGTAAACAGCAGATAAGAAAACACGAAACAGTTGTGGTGCATTTTTGTGTTTCTTGATTTTTATTGGAAGGCGGAGCGCGGTAAAAATATAAAAATAATGGTATTTAGTTTTAACGGTGAGCCACCCAGAGACCTTTGGGTAATATGGGTGGTGTATAAGTTAAACAAAATAAATAAAAAATAAATATATGGATTGTTACTTAACCAGTGATGTTCACTAGCATTTTACTCTCGTGGCATTTTGCTCGCCCGGTAAATCGCCGTGGGACTAAGTTAGGTGCACATTTAGTCTAAACAAAAAGCTACTATTTCCCCATAAGGGCAACTTACCAGCTTCGTGATTTACGAGAGTTGTACTTTGCCACCTGGGTAAAAACAATAGAGATTTCCATTAAAAAAAATTTTCTGACCGTTTGTAGAGTTCAGCCAGGTATGATCCGGGCAAAATTATTAACAAAATCATTATTCCTGTAAAAATAGTTCAATCTGGATTTCTCTTGATTTGCGTCGCCTCTGTAGTAAAACAGTTTGGCTTGGTTAGGGTGCCCACGGAATCCCATGACCCAGATGTTTTATTATGGGTATTGTAGTCCGAAACAACAGATTTCTCTTATCTCAGACCGAAACACCCATTGCTTCTTGGTCTCGGGCTTCGAAATGTCTTGGGCCACCCCTTAAAAGCGGAGGCTCTAAACCTCCGTTCTCTCCTCCTTCAAAAGAGGAGAAGAAAAAAACGACATCAAATGGATGATAAATCTCTCTTTTTTTGTACACCGATAATTACCTTTAAAAGCTGGTTTTGCAAACTGCCTGGCCTTTCTTCGCAGGCTGGGCAAACAGACTTTGCAGCCTAAATTGTGTTAATATTTACCCCAGACACTTTAGCTTCCAGAGTTGTTGATCGGCAGATTAAACTTTGATTTTTAGTCATTGTTTTTATTTCCTCTGCTTCCCTCCACAATGTTGGCTTAATTCCTAGGCTTCTTACTCACTGGGTAAGAATTTCCTACCTCCGAGATATCAAAAGAAAGCTCCTTTATCTTATTTCCAGTTCTGGTTGGTGGAACTGTATTTTCCGGGGCGTTTGGTCCGGAGAAATTTCCTAACCTGGCTTCTTGCTGTTTTTAAACATCGAACCTCATTCGTAAGGATTTGTTAATTTGTTTTGAGCGATGCCTTTCCCCCAGAATCATTCCCCTTTATCTCCCACTTCTTATATACATAGTACTGTATTGTTCTTGCTTTTTACCCTATACAGAAGGACCCACTTATCCACGGGATCAGTATCCACTGATTCACTTATCCACGGTCTGACTATATTAAAAGGAAAATCCTAGAAATAGATATTTCTAAAGAGGAAATGAGCAGAACTGGTGACTAGAGGGAGCCAGAGACCAATGCTATGTATTGTGTTCGCTGCTTTAAAAAAAAGGTGTTCTCTATAATCCGTGGTTTCCTACTGTAGATGTACTTAAGTTTTTGGAATAATTCTCTTTTCTGAATTTGACCGGTCGTAGGACATCTCCCTCCTTCCCCCGGATGGAGACGGGAAACTCTCCAACCCTTACCTCCGGCGGAAGCTGGAAACGGAGAAGGAGCTCCTTCGACAGACGATCCAGAAGGAGCAGAAAATCAAGGAAGGGGCCGAAAACCTGCGCCGGGTCACCACCGACAAAAAGACGTTGGCCCGCGTGGAGAACATACTCAAGTTGTCCAACCACAAACTGAAGCAGCTGCACAGTGAGCTGGAGGACCTCGACGCCCGGGTGGCTAGAGCAGAGAAAGAAGAGGAGAGGACAGGTGGGATTTTCAAGGTGCCTCTGTTCTATAAGGCCGCCTGGACATCTTAGGGGGTTAGACGTCTGGGCTACGGAGCCGGAAGTTGGGGGTTCAAATCCCGCACTGGGTCTCCTGGGAGAAGAGCCAGCCTGGGTGGCCTTGGGCGAGCGGCACAGTCCTCCCAGGACACCCCATTCAAAAAAAAATGGAGTGGCCGGACACTTCTGTATCTTCTCCAGCTAAAACATCCCAAAAAGGGTTTCTGCCAGTCATAATTGACTAGACGGCCCAGGATGCGGAGTATGGCTCGTGAATTTGCATTTGGGGGGGTGCGCGAGAAAATGAAAAAGACCTAGGATGGAGAATGAGACAACCGAAATAAAAGGAATTAGGCTTTCTTACTCTTTCTCCTGTTTCGATTACCTCTTCTATCGTTCCAGGTGGAACGGTGTCCTCCGGCGACTGTCTCGGGGAGAAAACGCTGAGCCCGGGGGCCAGGAGACTCGAGGCTTTGAAAAAGCAGCTTCAGATCGAGCTGAAAGTGAAGCAGGGCGCGGAGAACATGATCCAGATGTATTCGGGGGCGGCCAAGGTGAGCAGAGCAACCCCAACTTAGGAGGGCTTCGTGGACAGTCTTGGCTGGCCAGAAAGGCCATTGAGAAGACCTGGAGTTCCCCGGCAGCCGATTCCCACGTTGGGAGCCGGGAATCCCCCACCGCGGTTTTCACCCCTCTTTTCTCGCCAGGAACGGAAGCTGCTGGCTATGGCTCAGGAGATGCTGCAGGACAGCAAGACCAAGATCGCTCTGCTCCGGATGCAGATGGTCAAGATGTCCCGATCCTTAGAGGGGACGGAGTCTGCTCTGGAGCAAACGGGTCAGTGGCCGGGGGGGTTGGAACCCCTGGAGCTTAGGGTCCAGACCTGGAGTGGGAACTCTATGTGTTGTTTATGCAGATGCTGGACCTCCCAGCCTAGGAAAAAGTTGACAGATCCCTCCCAAAACTCTCAAGTGATGGCTCGTTGCTTTTTTTTCCACCTGTGGGGGGGGTTTCATGGGTAGGAAATGGAGGACCGCTCACCCCTCTGGAGCTTCAGGTGGAGGAACTGCGCCATCGCCTGCGTGTGGAAGCTGCCGTGGCCGGCGGGGCCAAAAACGTGGTCAAGATTCTGGGCGGGCGGCGGGTACAGGACCGGAAGATGCTGGCCGAGGTAGGGACAATGGCCAGCCAGAAAGGGTGGGGAAGGGATCCGCGTGTCGGGTTGGAGGGACGATAGAGGAGAACCTGCCGGACGTGGTCGTTTCTTTTCGTCTCTCCTCCTTCCAGGCCCAGGCTTGCCTGCAAGAATCTGCGCAGAAGATCGACCTGCTCAGACTTTCCCTGGAAAACCTTCTCGGCAAGCTGGGCCCGGATCACCCTAAGCGAGCGCTGGTGAAGCAGGATCTGGTCCACGCGTTCTCCCTGGGTGCTTCGCCGGGTAGCGGGATTCAGCCCCTTCTGTCCTGGATCAAGCCAACGGCTCTCACGGGTAACTTGCTTTGTAGGAGTTAACCATGGGGGACCCCCTTATCTGCGGGATCGGTATCCACTGATTCCTTTTTTCCCCCTGCTCTGAAAATATTATTTAAAGAGATTACCATTCCTTTTGTGCGGTGAGGTTTGTTTTATCCCTGGGTTGTCAAAAACAGTTGTTTTTGCTACCTCCACGACATGAGCGGGTGGCCTGAACAGAATCAGAAGGTCCCAAACGGGGATCTTTAGCCGTAGCTGGACTCCAGGTCCCAGAGTCCTTAGCTGCAGGTTGTGTTGGCTGAGGTGTGATGGGCATTGTAGTCCAATAATATCTTAAGGACCCACAATTGGGCACCTCTAGTTTTAGACGGGGGATGTTGGATTGGATACCTCTTAATTCTTTGTGAGTGTATCCGTGTGTGTGTGTGTGTGTGTGTCTTTCGATGCTGAAATTCCTCAGGCACCCTGGAAGTGCGATTGATGGGTTGCCGAGATTTACTGGAAAGGGTCCCCGGCCGTTCCCAGGTGGCGAGCGCCACGCCCCTCTACGGAAGCCCCAGCGCCTCGAAGCCCTTGACTCGTAGCTGGGTTGCCATGAACCGTCCCGGCCGCGGCGCCGCGGGAAAAGAAGTCCCGCCCGAGGACTCGTGCAGTGAGTGTGACGATTCTTTCTTGGGGTTCTTAGTTTGTGTGTGTTGTTTTGTTTAGGTTTTTAATTATTATTAATTTTTAAAGTTGGTTGAAAGTCTCTTCCGTAAGGGGAATGCAAGACCGTTAAAGCCCTATTTTGAGAGTACTTTTCAAACACATATTTTTAAAGAAGGGAACTATTTAGGGGCCCTTCCGGCTGAATAGGTCATAGGTTGGGAGATCGAATCCCTGCCGCTGGGTCTCCTTTGAGGCAGGGGCTGGAATACATGATCCACAGGGTCCCGTCCCTGCTGTGCTCTTCTAGAGGGGGGTGATGATGATCACTTAGGTCAGCGGGGCCCTATGAAGAGCCGCTGTGTCATGTTTCTTTTCTGACACAATCCAGGAGAGGTCCTTGCCGTGCTCAAGGTAGACAACAGGATGGTGGGCCAGACGAACTGGGCACCAGTTCATCAGCAAGCCTGGGACCAGTTCTTTGTCATTGACCTGGAAAGAGTAAGTATGTGTACGGGTGGGAGGGGTGGGCGTGATTCCTTGGAATCATGGAAATTTTTACAAGATGGAAGACTGCCACTGATCTTGGCAGGGGGAAACGTGGCCCTTCCTGTGGACGGCTGCAAATCAGGTCGTCTTCTAAGCGCACTGTGGGTTTTGAACAGTCTCTAAGGGGAGCCCATCGTGTAGCACATGGCAGTAGTCTAGACGAGGTAGGACAAGAGTGCCGGTAATAGGCTTTCTTTGTAAGCCGAAGGGCCGTAGCCGTCGTAAAGGTTTTTCTGACATCTTTGCAGTCTCGAGAGCTGGAAATCTCCGTCTACTGGCGCGACTGGCGGGAGCTGTGCGCCGTGAAAGTCTTACGCCTGGAGGACTTCCTGGATAACAGCTGCCATGGCATGTCCGTCAGTCTGGAACCTCAAGGGACCCTCTTCGCAGAGGTAAAGGGGCTGGGCATCCACCTCCCCCAGAGATTTATTTGAATGGGGTGTATTTATCAGAACTGGCCACTAGAGGGTGATGGAGACCATGTATTCTTCTTGTTAGAGAATATATAGCATGCTCTCTGCTACCCTCTAGTGACCAGTTCTGGTAATACATCCTGAAAATAAATATTTCTGGATTTTTTCTTTTCTTTTGCCATGCTATGTATAGTGTTTGCTATTATCTGTGGTTTTCATCCTCCAAAAGAGACTGGGATCCAATCTTGTGTGGAGAGAGGGGCCCTACTGTATTTGTGAAATATTGGTTGCAGTTTGCTCAAAGGTAGCACTCCAGGATGTCGAGTCCCCCCGTTTGCTTGGACATCTGGGGATGGAATCCGGAACCTGTTCTTCACAGATTATGGGATCTACCACTAAGCTATGGCCCTTTGCTGAGGGACCCATCCGTTTCAAAAGGCTTTATATTCTCCCGCTTGCCCGCTCCTTTGCAGATA